TCCATGCTCTCCTCCCTTCCGGACATCAACCGGGTTTCCATGCCAAGGTGCTTCCTACCTCCAGGGAAATGCAGGGCCACCCTACATGGGTTTTGCGACGCCTCTGAGAAGGGCTATGCTGCTGTCGTATATTTGCGGACTGTGAGTTCCTCTGGGCATACTGCAGTTCATCTCGTACTCGCCAAAAGCAAGGTTGCTCCCATTAGATCCCGTTTAACTATCCCTAAATTGGAACTGTCCGGAGCCGCTCTTCTCACGCGGCTCCTCAACCACGTTCACTCGTCCTTGAAGCCTGTAATCGACATTACGGACGTCTACGCATGGTCGGACAGTGAGATAGTACTTTGTTGGCTCCGAGCCGCACCTCACAATCTTGAGGTCTTTGTGGCGAACCGCGTGTCTCAAATCCAGAGTTCTGAGACTTCTCTCCACTGGAGACATGTCCCCGGGGAGTTGAATCCCGCCGACTGCGCTTCCCGCGGCTGTGAGGCCCCCGCGCTGGTTGCCCACTCATTGTGGTGGGGTCCCGGTTGGTTATCTGATCCTCAATCCTTCTGGCCCCAGGGTAATTACTCCGAACCTACTGAGTTGCCGGGCCTACGGGCCCGAGTAGGAGTGGGCAAGGATAAGCCCACTCGGGATCTCTCCCTTCTGGAACGGTACAGCTCTCTCGATAAGCTCTTAGGAGTGACTGCTTGGCTGCGCCGCTTTGTCCACAATTCGAGAGATCCGTCCAACCGACTCTCTGATTGCGTTTTGTCCCCTAGCGAGCGTCGGGAAGCACTGATGCATTGGATCCGTATGGTCCAGACGGAGCATTTTGAGCCCGTTATGGAACACTTGAAGCGTGGCTCCGTTATCAAGGGCGCTCTGGCCCGCCTGAACCTCTTTCTGGACGACGCTGGGATGCTGCGCGTGGGCGGACGTTTGAAAAACTCTCAACTGCCGTGCGGGGCTCGACACCCGTTGCTGCTCCCTAAGGACGGCGCCCTTGTCCGGTTGCTGGTAACCCACCACCATGTTAGGAATGCCCACGCTGGGTGTAACGCCCTGTCGGCTATTTTGCAGCGGGAGTTTTGGATTTTGTCTGGTCGTCGCACCATTCGGAGCATCATCTTTAAGTGCATCCCCTGTTATAAACTGAAGGCCCCCATATCGCAGCCTCTTATGGGTGACTTGCCGCCCGACCGCGTCAGGGCCATCCGACCATTCGCTGGGGTCGGAACAGATTTCGCTGGCCCCTTCCTCGTCAAGTCCTCTAACCTTCGTAACGCGCGTTCATGTAAGGCCTATCTTTGCGTCTTCGTGTGCCTCTCCACTAAAGCCGTTCACTTGGAACTGGTGAGCGCCCTCAGCACGGAAGCCTTCTTGGCCACGCTTGGCCGTTTCGTGTCGCGGCGCGGCTTGCCGGACTTGATCCGGTCTGACTGCGGGACGAATTATAAGGGCACGGATAGGTATCTCAAGGAGGTTGTCGAATTTCTGTCCAGCCACCGGACTTATTTAGGAAATGCTATGTCGAAAAGGGGCATCCAGTGGAAATTCGACCCTCCGGCGTGTCCCCACTGGGGCGGTATTTTCGAGGCGGTGGTTAAGGTTGCCAAAACGCATCTCCGTCGCGTTATTGGTGAAGCCATTTTGACGTTTGAGGAGCTCGCCACTGTATTCTGTAAAATTGAGGCGGTACTCAACTCTCGGCCCCTCTGCCCCCTCTCCTCTGACCCGAATGATTTGGAGGTTCTAACCCCGGGACACTTCCTGATTGGCCAGCCTCTTAACGCTCTGCCCGAGTATCCCTTCAGGGAAACGAGTGCTTCACGGCTTAGCAGGTTTGCCCTGCTGCAACAGATGACTCAACGCTTTTGGCACCGATGGTCTCTGGAGTACCTACATCTTTTGCAGCAGCGCGTTAAGTGGTCTGACAAGACGGAGCCTCCTCGGGTGGGAGACCTCGTGTTGATTAAAGAACCAAACGCGCTACCTTTGTATTGGCGCCGTGGGCGCATTGTTAAATTGTCGTATGGAACGGATGGGGTGCCTAGAGTGGCCGAGGTTTTGGTCGGAGATTCGGTCTTGCAACGGGCCGTCGCGACCTTGTCCCGTTTGCCAATCTACTCGCGGACTTAATGCCTTATGTCCGGGGCGGGGGGTTGTCTAGGCAGGAAAATTTGCAATAAAAACGCAGTATTTAACGCGCGCTTTTGGCCTTGATATCAAGGGCACCTTCCCTCTCCCCCGCCCCCTCGGCCGCCGGATGGGTCGGCGTGACTCTTCTCGCGCGGTAGTAGGATTTTTCTTGCGAACTATACGGACGTATTTTTTCGCGCCTAAACTTGCTAAAGGAACAATCCGCGTAAATCGTTGCAATAACGGTATCGTTATCAGAACGTACTAACTCGGTGAAATTCGCGCGCAACTATCAAAGTGATTTACATCTGAAGGACTACCAGAGTAGCCGTCCCATTTGGTGACAACCCCTTACGAGTGCCTCCAGAAGGGTGAAGTTCCGGGGATACCAGCGCGTGCCTTCTCCCGGACGTCGTCGAGTCATCCAGATCGGTTCCCGTCAACATACCAGCACACACAATTACACCTACACTCACAACACACCAAGCACAACTTTCATCAGCCGGGCCGGTCGAGGAGAACCGTCTGCGCTCCTGGGGCAGGTAAGTGCATTTATTCTAGTGACCTTTCCCCTCGTGTGTTCATTAGAAACCTTTGACCCTCGGCGTAGGAACGCCCGACCTGCATCTGCCCGTGGCTCCTTCGTCTATGGGCCGCGAAGGATCCAACTCCTGTTGAGGCAGGGCAGCTGTTGGCCGTAACATAAGTATTTATAACTTTTTCTATCTTCTTCAAGTTTAGCATTTTTTTTTTGTAAGCAAATTACTTGTAAATTTATTAATAATATTGTTCTAGTTAAGTAAGTTAACAACTGTCTTATAGTAGCTGCACTATTTGCGAATGTTGTATATACCTTTAAAGGCAAATCACTTTGAACAAAACCAATTGTGTTATACTTAACAATGTCTAGTGATAAGCCAATGGTGTATCTGTTAAAATAAATAAATAAATAAATATCTCTCCTACCCGGGGTACAAATTGGAACACTCCTTTGTGCCCCGGGCTGGAGTTTGCGTATACGTCAGAGAGGACATCTGTTTTCGACGCTTCGGCAGTCTTGAAGGTACGGACCTGTCCATCCTATAGCTGCGAGTAGACAGCGACGACCATCCCCGCGTCTACGGGTGCCTCTATAGGTCCCATAGTGGTAATGCCGATACAGACTGACTCATCGACCACGTCCAAATGGCTGCAGACTCCGTGCTACAGCAGTGGTAGAGCCACGCGGCAGCTTTTGCTGTCACATGGATGGGCCGGCTCGAACCGGGGTAGTACCACGACCTCACAGAAAACCAGCGTGAAGTAGAGGTTTACCTCTGCGTTTCGCTTGGTGAGTGCAGGTGGCCGGAGGCCCTTTTTACTGGAAATGAGGCATTCCATCTTGGTCCTCACGGGTGACAACGCATCTACATTTTGATTTGTAACAGAGGATAAATGGGCCGCAGCAACCACTTACCATCAGGTGGACTGTGTGCTCGTTTGTCACCCATATCCTATAAAAAAAAACAGGTCCCATCCGCAGAGATCGTGATACTCGGTGATTTTAACGCCCACCATGCTGAATGGCTTGGTTCTCGTTTAACCGATCATGCGGGTAGATCTGTCTATGACTTTGCTTTAGCATATGGTCTAACACAACTGGTTACTTCGCCTACGCGGATCCTAGATGTGGAAGACCATGTACCAGTTGCGATCTGCAGCTTGCCGCCGTGTTTGGCACTATAGGTCCGTAGATGCGGTCTTTTTTTGCATCATACCCTTGGGGGCTTTGCTTCTCGCCGGAAGATCCCAGCGTTGTTGCCGATTCTGTTGCTGATGTGGTACTTCAGGGTATGGAACTTTTTATTCCATACTCTGTGGTGCCCATCGGAGGCAGATCCTAGCCATGGTTTGGTCGCTCCTGTAAAATAGCATCACGCTATAAGCAAGAGTGCTACCGGGCATGGGCTGACGCATCAACGTCTCGGAATGTAAACACCAGCGCACTTAAAAAGAAGTATAATTCCGCCTCCAGGTCCTTCAAAAGCGTCATTGCCAAGGCAAGGTCTGAGCACATCGGCGGTTGCAAGGTCTGAGCAACAAATTGGCGAGAAGCTAGTTCGCCTTCCTTCGGGAACCCGTGCATTCTGGTCTCTCGCCAAGGCTGTCCAAGGGAACTTCTGTCAGCCATCTCTTGCATCTCTGCACAGAGAGGACGACTCACTGGCCCATGCCGCAAAGGAGAAAGCCGATCTGTTGAGCTCTCTTTTTGCGTCCAACTCGACTCTAGATGACGGGGGGAACACACCGCCGACCATCCCGCGATGTGAGTGCTCCATGCCGGATGTGCGGTTTACACAGCGCTCGGTTCGCAAAGCACTCTTCTCCCTGGACGTCAGCAAGTCGAGTGGGCCCGATGGAGTCCCTCCCATTGTGCTGAAGACGTGTGCTCCGGAGTTGGCACCGGTTTTAACGCGTCTTTTCCGATAGTCCTACTCCCAAGGTGTAGTCCCGAATTCATGTAAGACAGCTTTAGTCCACCCGATCCCTAAAAAAGGCGACCGCTCAGACCCGTCCAACTACAGGCCTATCGCCATCACCTTCTTGTTCTCCAAAATAATGGAATCCATTATAAACTGCCAGCTCATGAGGTACCTTGAGGATCACCAGCTGATTAGTGACCGTCAGTACGGTTTTTGTCGAGGTCGATCAGCTGGTGATCTTCTAGTCTATCTGACTCATAGATGGGCACAAAATCGTACCACTTTTATATATCAAAATCCACTTCAAACCATTAATTAAACAATGGTACAGGAGCAATAATCCGCCGCCGGTCAAGTTCCAGCCAAAACTCCGCGTACGCACCTGTACGCCTGTGTGTGTAGAGTACTCACGTGCAGAGAGAGCGTGCCGTCGTGCGCGAGCTTGTAGGCGAGGTGCAGGCGCACGTGCAGCATGGCGGTGGCCCAACGGCGGGCGACGCGCGCCACGCCGGCGCAGCGCCGCAGCAGCGCGCCCGCGTCGTCCGCGCGCTTCACGCCGCGCCCGCACTCGTAACGCATCGCCTCGCACGCCAGCCGAACGCACGTCGTCGACAACGTGTCCGCGTCTACCGATACACGAACACTCCGCCGTAATATTAATTATTTACGAAAAAAAAATTAAATACTATGGCGATCTATATAATAATAAGACTGATCTGGTGCCATATTGTGACGTCATAGCAATCAATTCAAACTGGTAGAGTGAGCAAAACAAATATTTTTGAAATAATATTCATTTTCAAAAGAACCAAAGAACCATGAATGAAAAAGTATTAATTTGAATTTAGGATTTCAATTTCGCTCATCTCTGCATCACTGTCTAAGGAGGCCTCATTGTCATCATCACTACTGCTTTCACTTATAAAAATAGAACATGTTTAATAGAACACGGTTTTGGAGACAAACGTGGCTACCATTTTTTTTGCAACACTCCGTGAACGAACTATTTTTGTTGGCTTTAACTCATTTTCGAACACCCAAACTCGTGACTGGTTTTTTGTTTCGGGTTCGTACGCGTATTACCAGGATTCGTCACCTGATACGATGTTGTATACAGCTTTTGAGGATCCTGCGTGGTATCTTTCGAGAGTTCTGACGCACTAAGTAACGCGAGCCGCTTTTTGCTCTTCACAGAGCGAATGCGGTATCCATCGAGAAAACAACTTTTTTACACCTAATTGTTCATGCAAGATTATTTGTATTTGACTCATGCCAATGTCTAAAGTTGCCTGAATTTCGCGGTATGTCACATGTCGATCTTCCTCAATCAGCTTACGCACAGCATCAACGTTTTGTTGGGTGACTGCATGTTTTGGACGACCTTGACGGGGATCATCACTGAGCTTGACACGTCCACGTTGAAGTTCAGCAAACCAGCGATAAATTGTGGTTTTGGATGGGGCTTCATCACCAAATGGAGAAATCATCCGGTCAACACACTGTTTTTGTGTTAAACCACTTCGAAAGTCATAATAAATCATCGCTCTTGAATTTTCTCGAGTCAATTCCATTTTCTCAACGACTAAACAAGTTTGACAAAACCTTGTAACAAGACCGAGATTCTTTTTTTAAATAAATAAATGGTATTCGATTTTTAAAACCAAGGACTTTTCAATTAAAAGAAATTTAATATGACAGGAACAGTGGAAATATTCCATTCCCGATACTTTTAGTGCAGCCCTCGTACGCACGTCATAGACAACGCATTTTTTTTATAGAATAAGGCTGATAAACAAGCACACAGTCCACTTCCATCTCCGCCTCCGGTTCTCTTTGTTGGAGTTAAAATGAAAGATACAGCAGCTATATAGATATCCACATCTATCCTCGAATAAAAATCATAAGTTCACTTTTTACCCCTAGACAGTAAAAGACAAATATCAGATCATTATCATTAAGTATTTGTTAAAAATTGTTAATGGTCTCATATTTCGGCCCCACTCTATTATGTGTGCACAAATATTTAGGTCTATTTCCCTCTCTTTTTCTACTTTTTAATTGATCGTTTTTATTTTCATAAAGCTTGTGTGGCCCATATACTTTTTAATATTCATATGCCTTTTAATAGCTATGTCGATTTAAAATTTTGTAATAAGTGATATGTATGACAGCTGTTGGTGTTCTGAATAAAATAAATAAATAACTAAATAAATGCAGATGCTAAAATAGAATGCCATTACCAGTAAGAGGGTCTCTGGTTTTCTACTCACCGTACAAAACACAGCAGCATTAAGTTGCTATTTTACGCTGGTATGCTGTGAGAGCGCGGTCCCACCCTGGTCGAGGCGACCCATTAGTACTACAACCATAATATAGCTGCAGCGTGGCTCTACCACGTATGGTATATAACGAGAACAGGAGACCCTTTATACTGGTAATGAAACATGCTATATCTGTATTTGAGGAAGAATAATGTATAGGAAGAAAGCTACATTTCTTCATCAAGTTCCTACTGCAAGAGACCTTGTGAAAAAAAAGCAGCAAGAAAGTCACATGTAGACATAGTTGACTTCCAATAGTGTAAATTTTACTTTGCATAATTTAATATACACAAATAAATCAAGATTAATTTTAAAATACATTACCCTCATGTGCAACATCAACCGTAGTGCTAAGTACTGGAGTTTCGACGCATATATGCGCTGGAGTGTTCGAGTGCACGTGATCCAACTTCAGCGTCAACCGCAACCTTCGGCGCATGAGCATAAATTGCCATGTGTACAAGTCAGCATACTCCCACTCGCACTCGCAGCTTCTGTAAAATTAAAATAAAACTTGATTCGAAATAGAATTATTTTTGTTATTAAATATTAATTATACATAATATTTGTTGAGTAATTTTAACTTGTATTATGAAAAATACCTCCGTCCTGGGAAGAACCAGCCAGAAACAGAATGAGACTTAAAAAACCAGTTTACGAATATGTATTATTGTACAATCGTATAATATTCTTCTTCATCATCATCATCATCATTACAGCCCTTCACAAGTCCACTGCTGAACATAGGCCTCCCCCAAAGAATGCCACAAAGCACGGTCCTGAGCCACCTGCATCCATCGACTTCCTGCATGTCTTACCAGGTCGTCACTCCATCTCGTGGGGGGACGCCCTACACTTCGCCTATATTCTTCATAGTATAAACTAATTATACTTACACAAATTTTTTTTGAACTTAGTTAAATATCTTGCTATTTGTTCTAAAACCAATTGGTCAAGCATTACTTACATTAGCATTATGAATAAATTACCGATTCACTTGAATTGAGTAGGTAATATTACTGCCTGTTCCCAGTAAAGATGCATATATAACTTGTTCATGTACGTACATTACATTTTTGTAAATATATAGAGACTAAAGTTAAAATTTAAGTTCCTTAATCTTTTGTCTAGAAACCTAACGAATCGAGAATTACCTAAAGAGTCCCTTTAGATATTTTTCATCTTTAATTCAATCATAACTTGCTCTTATGGCCATCTTCTGCAATTACTTTTCGAGCACTTCAATCAAAATATTGAAATATGCCAAAGTATGCGCGGTAGAGTAAAGAAGGGCGCCGTGAGATGCTCCTGTTTATGATTCTCTGGAAACTAAACTTAGGTATTCTCGGGTACAAAATAAACCGCATGTCCAGTTGTAGCTGTGTAAATAAAGAACAAATGTGGAGCAAGAAATGGTAGTGGCGGTGTCAAGCCTTATACCACGCTTGGAAAATATGTGTGGAAATCACCAAGTCACACGTCACATTAACTAAGTTGTCATTGTATTTTATTTCCTATTTTTCATAAATAATAAATGTATACTTGTGCGTCAATATAAATATAAAACTCAGCCTCATATTGTGAATGTTTTAATTTTTGTGCGTTTCTACCTAGTATCATTGTTTCGTATTATTTTAGTTCGTTTAGTATTATTGTGTTTCGACTAGCTACGGCGCACAGACAAAGTACTAATCCTGTTAGTGCGCCGCGAACTGTAAAAGTTTGGAAACCCGTGGCATAAAGTTGCTTACGATGCTTAATTTTGAAATAATGTGAAGTCCACCAACATGCATTGGATTGGAATAGCATGACGGACTAATTATTCCAAAATTTGGTAGAGCCACGCTGCAGCTATGTATATTATGGTTTTAACACGAAGAGTTTGCTCAACTGGGGAAGAACCACGCTCTCACATAATACGAACGTAAAATAGCAGCTTAATGTTGCTGTATTACGTATGGTGACTGTAGAGAACAAGAGATCCTTTTTACTGGATACAAAAGCATTCCGTCTTAGACCTCAGCTGTGGCGACGCATCTGCATTTTGATTCATAACTGAGGATAGATGTAGATGTCTATGGGCCACAGAATCTACTTACCATAAGGTGAACTGTGCTCGTTTGTCACATCTTTTACAGGCAGATCTTTTTTTTTTTATAGGAGAGGGGGCAAAAGAGCATGCGGCTCACCTGATGGTAAGGTAGTTTTTGTATTGTGTATTCTATTTATTATAGCTGAACTGTTTTCATTTATAACTTATGTTTTATTATTGTCCTTAATTTGCACCTGCCAACATCTTTATTTATTCCATTTTTCGTCGGGTTGACTGGTAGAGAATGCCATAGGGCATTAAGTCCGCCCTTTGTAACCCCTAGTTGGTGTGTTGCAATAAAGGATAAATAAATAAATAAATAAATAAGTGACTACCGCCGCCATTAACAACTGCAACACCAGGGGAATCGCAGATGCGTTGCCGGCCTTTTAAAAAGGAGTACGCTCTTTTCTTGAAGGCCCCTAAGTCGTATCGGTCCGGAAAAATCGCTGATGGTAATCGATTCCACAAGGAGGTCGTGCGAGGAAGAAAACATCTTCTAAATCGCACAGTGGTGGACCGCCAATCATCCAGATGGTGTGGATGGTATCGGGAGTTCTGCCGCGATGTGCGTTCGTGAAATTTGACGGCTGGGATTAATCCGAACAATTCCTCAGAGCACTCCCCATGGTAGATGCGAAAGAAAATGCAAAGGGATGCAACATCTCTTCGCAGTGCCAATGAATCGAGCCGATCGGAAAGGGCTCGGTCGTCGACGATTCGAGCAGCTCTGCGTTGGATGCGGCCAAGTGGAAGGAGCTGGCACTGGGGAGCCCCTGCCCAGAGATGGGAACAGTATTCCATGTGAGGCCGAACTTGCGCCTTGTAAAGTTGCAGGCGGTGTGCCGGCATGAAATACTGTCCCGCCCTGCTGAGCACGCCAAGCTTATCTATTTCAATAACAAAATTTAAAAAATGAGAGGCCTGTGCTTAGCTGTGGCAAGTAGGTAATAGGCAAGGTTGTAATTTTACTATTTTATTTCGAATGAATAGATGAATAGATTCCTAGTATTCTTTAAAAAAAAGCTACGGCTTATTCCTCGCATTTTTAGTCGGCATCTTGTGCTCAGTTACCTGCAACTGACCTCAAAGGCCCACAGATGCGTTTCCCTTCTGGATCTGGAAATGGAATGCCTGCCTGTAGTATGGAGTCAAAACCTCGCTGCCAGCAACCAGCTGTGCAAGCACTGCTGTTTGGCGCCAGAAATAGATAAAATCGTGGTACCTATCCAGACGAGCTTCTATCCAGAAAAGGAGATGTACCGCCTAGTTCAAGTATCATGTATTGTAGAGGCATTTTTATATTAAGTTGCTCTGTTTGACTGTTCTCGGTGAACTTTAGGGATTGAACTTTAAACATAGCTCAGAATTGGCAAAAAAACACGTGTGCAGTTCACACGCGGTAGAAGTGAGACCTTCAAATAAAATATAAATAAAAATATTTCACGCCAAATGATTTATTTAATGTGATAACGATACTTGATGGCTCCGTGGCGCAGTAGCTTAGTAATGAGTTGCAACGCTGGGGACTGCGGGTTCGAATCCCACGCGGAGCAAGTATTTGTATGGCCAGGCCTCTGTCACTCTTGCTACCTGCGTGAAATAATTACCTACAATCGCGAGCTGCTCCAAGAGTAAATCGCAGTCGGGCCTAGTGCGCTCTATACGATTAAATGTTAAAGTTTTTTTAACGCTGTTTACGTAAATAATTTTTTGTAAATACTTGTTGAAATACTCGTGGGAATAGTTTTTGTTTAGTGTTTAGTATATTTAATTGTAGAATAAAATAATTGAAAATGTTTTAATGTAATTTAAGAATAATATACAACGTGTCCCAAAATTCAACGATAAGCCAACACCGGAGGATAGACCTGCCCCGTACTAATCGGGTAAAAAAAGAAAAAAAAATATATCCCAATTATATTTTAAGTTATATAAAAAAAATGAAATTCTTCAGAAATTGAGACCGTTTATGATATTTTTCACTACCATGACCACAATTTTTTAAATATTTTTTTCTTTTTTTTTTTATAGGCAACCTGAATAGTACTGCTATCTACCACAATTCTTAAAAACTCCAGAATAACTCTTGGTTTATCACGAAAATTAATGAAACTTATTTTATTCCCTAAATTTTTTGAAGACTTTTACTTTTAACCAAATTTAACTTATCGTGGTGTAAAAAAAAAGTATGAACACTAGTATGGCAAGTTTTTTTAAAAATTGACGCAACTAACCAATATTCCAAAATGGTATAATACTCTAGGAAAACAAGTTATAAAAAAATATGGGCCTATTATTTCTTAACAGGGGCCAAATTCCTTAAATTGTAATTGTCAGTAATCACTTTTACTACATGCCCAAAATGGGTTCCTGTTACAATTTCTAGGAATTCGAATGGGGCATTAATACCTTAGATGTTAGAGAGAGATAGATAGATAGAGATATTTACGTTAAAAAGAGACAACAACAGGGCAGGTAGAGAAGCTGTTATTATTCTCAGCAAGTCGGTTCAGTACGCTCTGCTCCTTTGTTTACTGCGCACCGTACCCAATTCAACTTACGTGGCCCTCGTACATACTATCGACTTTTGGCTTGGCTTTTTGGACTGGAATCGACCTGCAAACTTAACTGACCTGGCATTATTTGGACTGGAAGTAATCTGCAAACTGAACTGACCTGGCATTATCTTGGACTACGATTGTGTGTTTTGTGATTTAGAGTTCTGGCGCATTTTGGACTGTTTGGCGTTTAACATGCCGCAACCGTACACACCACAGGAATACGCTAATATGCATTTAATCTATGGAGAATGCCGATGTAATGCTAACGCTGCTAGCAGACTGTATCCAGAAAGATACCCAAATGCTCAAAGATATCCTGATTATCGAGTGTTTATTAATGTGCATCAAGCGTTTTCGGAGGGTCGTATGCCATCCAATAGGAGCAGCGCTGGAAGACCTAGATTGGATCGTGATGAAGAAGTTCTCAAGGAGATAGAAAATGACTCGACTACTTCGGTACGTGCCATAGAAGAAGCTACAGGAATCCCGAAAAGTTCTGCACATCGAATATTAAAACGTCACAAGCTTCACCCATATCACTACAGGCGTGTGCAGACGTTATTACCGCGGGACTATCCGCTACGGGTCACATTTTGCCGTGTAATGCTGCAAAGGCACAGTGAAGATCCCCACTTCCTAGACAAAATTCTATGGTCGGATGAAACAACGTGCAAGAAAGATGGGTATTTAAATCTTCACAATCTACATAGTTGGAGTAATGAAAATCCACACTTGATGAGACAAGACAAATCCCAATATCAATTCAAGGTTAACCTATGGACCGGCATATTAAATGGAAAAGTAATTGGGCCCTTTGAGTTACAAGGAAACTTAGATGGCAATAGTTATTTAAACTTTTTACAAAATGACTTGCAAGAATTGTTAAACGACGTGCCCTTAAGTGATCTTCAAAACATGTGGTTCCAAAATGATGGTTGCCCAGCACATTATGCCCGTCCTGTGCGAGAATATTTAAATCAAGAGTATCCAGGGCGTTGGATCGGGCGACTTGGTCCTATCTTATGGCCACCCCGTTCACCCGATTTGAACCCCCTGGACTTCTTCTATTGGGGTTGTCTTAAAAACAGGGTCTACTCAAAACCCATTGTGACATTGGACGAGCTTCGTCGAAATATCACTCAGGCTGCTGATTACATTAATAGCAGAAGATATGCAAGACAAATAAAACGATCATTTTTAAGGCGATGTCGTGCATGTATTAATGCTGGTGGCAAACAGTTCGAACATTTGCTATAATGTTAATAACTTAATAAATTACACGTGAAACTGTTTGTACCATTTGTTTTGAAATATTAAACATTTTTCAAGAAATAATACTTTTATTACACCCGACCGTCATTTGGCCCCTGTTAAGAAATAATAGGCCCATATTTTTTTATAACTTGTTTTCCTAGAGTATTATACCATTTTGGAATATTGGTTAGTTGCGTCAATTTTTAAAAAAACTTGCCATACTAGTGTTCATACTTTTTTTTTACACCACGATAAGTTAAATTTGGTTAAAAGTAAAAGTCTTCAAAAAATTTAGGGAATAAAATAAGTTTCATTAATTTTCGTGATAAACCAAGAGTTATTCTGGAGTTTTTAAGAATTGTGGTAGATAGCAGTACTATTCAGGTTGCCTATAAAAAAAAAAGAAAAAAATATTTAAAAAATTGTGGTCATGGTAGTGAAAAATATCATAAACGGTCTCAATTTCTGAAGAATTTCATTTTTTTTATATAACTTAAAATATAATTGGGATATATTTTTTTTCTTTTTTTACCCGATTAGTCCGGGGCAGGTCTATCCTCCGGTGTTGGCTTATCGTTGAATTTTGGGACACGTTGTATATGTATATTACTTATCTATTTGATAAATTATAATGGCAAAACGTCGTTCCTACTATAATTGTTGCGGGGATGGATGCTTAATGAGCAATTAAAAGGATTCAGATATATCATTTTTTGAGTTATCGAAGGATAATGAAAGGTAAATTTATTTCGTTTTTTGTTAGAAAGGTACTCATAGCGAAAAAAAAATAATAATTATAATTTAACTATAGAAGTAATACCTAAGTACTTTATTACAAAACTTGGTTGAAATTTACTTCACTACCCAAATACCTACTACTATACTCGTCTTTGTAATTAAAATATTTTAAGTTATAATAGCACAAAATACTGAAAAAAATTTTGTTTACAAGATTTTCAACTAAGTACATTACGATCATATTTCTGTTAGGAATCGTATTTCGGGTTTATTTGTTGTTTACGCTATCTACCTATATGAACCAAGCATCGCGATTCCCGACGAATAGCCTTGCAAGTTGCATGCGTTGGACATCATAGAACTCACATAGTAGATAGCATGGTCCATGATAGTCAGCATAGGTACTTTACCTAAGTAACTTACCATTTCACAATGTATTTTTTTACTCTTTATTAACAGCCCTTAGCAACCACGGAAAGTCCGATGTGACGTAGTAAGGAGAAAAGATGCAAAGTAATACGGACATTCGCGCGCAACGATAAAGTTTTATTTAGCTTGCGTGCGCGATTTATCTCATTAATAATAACTATGTAGGCTATTAAAACTTCGGCAAGCAGTCAACATCAAGAGTGCAACTTTTGTACGTAGTACTATTATTTATTCTGTGGTATAGCCTACAAATAATCGTTCCGGGTTTGGATGTTTTTGACGGATAAAGTCAGAACGATTCTAAAGAAGTTTTCACTTCAAAAATGTTTACCATCTTTAACTTTTACTTCTTTACTTTTTTCTCATTGGCAACACTGAATTTTTTACGTGCTTATTACCATTTGTTTGGAGATGAAGGAAAATATCGTAAGGAAACCCGCGTGTCTGAGAAATTAAAACTGTGTTAAACCCGCCAACACGCACTGAAATGGCGCAGCGGTATAACCGAACCATAACCCTCTTTGAAATGAGAGGAAACCACAGCTGGGTGGGACATATATGGCCTGTAACTTGAAACATGAAACAAAATCTCACCTTATAAACAGTAGCATGTTGATTTTGGGCAACACATTTTCGCTGGATTCGGACTCCAAGACCAGCTTCTTAGAGCCGCGCTCGTTGACATCTTCTGTCTGCCAGTTCAGTCGTGATGTGTCACTTGATGTACTGTTAGCCTCTGCAGAGATGGTGGTGGTTACACTTGGCATGCACTGAATTTCTTTCATAGCTTTACTACTTGTGAACGAACAGGCCATTTCTGGACTTAAACATTCTTTTATTTCTTTTTGAGAGACCGTTATACTCTTTAATGTGCTAGATGAACTTGATTCAGATTCCATGTCCTCTGCGGTTTCTCTAGCCTTTACCTTTGATTCCGCGTCAATTTTACATTCCACCGTCACGTGTTGAACGATTACAGTGGCTTCCAATTTATGTTTAGAATTACTTATAGATTTCTTCTGGGATTTCGTTTGTTTTTTGGTGGTCGAAATATTAAGAGATTTTTCCGAACCTTTTGAAGCATTTTCGATTTCTGCTTTACTAGGTTTGGCAGTGGAAGAACGGTTTGACGCATTTTTAAGCCTACCGGGGCTATCGGACAGTTTTTGCATTTTACTTAGAGGCTTAGGAGTTACTTCAGGACTTAACAATGTAACTTTTTTGAGCTGATCACTTTTCGCGGGACTGTAAATTCGTTTCTTAGCTTTGGTATTGTTTTCGGCGTCACCTAAATCAACACTGGAAGGGAAATTTTGAATGTCTTGATCGGTTATTTTGAATATCATTTTGACGGGAGAATTTCGTTCATTTTTAAGATCTGATTTAGTTGTGCCTATGTCATCTTCTATTTCTATAACGTTTTGCTCGTCATCATTGACTAAAGTCAATGACGAACTTGCTTCTAGAAGCTCCTTGTTGCTTTTCATAACTATTAAAGTATTCACTTCGGTGTCTTTAATGTGTGTTTTTATATCGTTTGTAGAGTTATCTGCAGAGGCTGGTTTACTGTTCACTAAAACTATACTATTATTTTCAACTCTTTCATTACTCAAATCACCTGATTGCGAACCTGAGCCAGTTAATTCAGGTTTGCAATCGGTTGCACTTGTAATAATATTGTAATACGTCGAAATTTTCTGACCATTCAATTCCTCTTCTACACTATTTCCTATAGGGGAGTTTTGGGGAGATTTATCTGTTTTAACTTCGTAAATTAATTCTGAAGATTTCGATGGGCTGTATCTATGAATATCTGTTTGGCCCGCAGGAGATAATACAACATTATTTAAAGGATTTGTGTGATCAAAGACCAATATTTGTTCTGGTACTCTTTGTTTTTGTAAATGCTGAATGTGTGTTTGTTTATTACCATCAGTAGAAGGTATGTTCTTTAGCGATTCTGCTGGTAAACCCGCGGCTGTAGGATCGGCATGCTTAAGATTGTAATCAAATCCTTTGTTTGCTTGTGTTTTAGCTACATCACATTCCGAATCCGGGTACGATTCTATGTCGATGTCAATTTGGCTAGATGTGATAATGTTCGCTTGTATTTGTATGCTACAAGTCGAAGGATCGTTCTTAGTCATCTCATCTAAACGAGACGTCTCGAATGGTATCACGTCAGCCATAGGTTTAACTAAGTCATGCATAAGTGATTTAATGTCATCAGAAACTTCTGACAAATAAGACGGAATCACTTTTGCTTTGCTCTCAATTAAATTAGAGGTGTCATTAAATGCAGTCTTTTTTAATGGCGATAAATTTATATCCGATTTTGACTTTATTTCATTGATAGAATCATCGAATTGTAATTTTTTCACCACTTCTGTACTCACTCGCACTAAGTTTCGTGCTGTGTTGGCATCGTCCATAATTTCGTCAGATTGTTCTACTGGTGTTTCACAATGGGTTTCATTAATAGATTCGCTTTCATTCATATCTGTCATTGCCTGTTGTAGTACTGCATGTGCCATTGATATATTATTAAGTAAATCTTCTCGACTAAGCATTATCGACAATCTGCTTTTCGCGAGACTCGTGCGTTTAAATTCATTACAGTCAGTTCTATCTTCTAGTGCAGTAACATTATTAACATTAACTGATGGTTTATCTTCATCTTCTTTGGTTTCTTTAGCTATTGTTCTATCGGTAAAATCTGAAAGCATTTCTAATAATTCATTTGTATCATCTGCTGTTTTGAAGGTTCTATTTCTATACGAGTTTTGAAGTTTTTTACTGTCAATTTCATTCACGCTCTCATTAATGGTACGATTTTTATTTTCTTTGAAGTTTACTTGATCGGGATTCGAACTTAAAACATTTTCAAAATGTCTTTTCGTTTGTGCACTATTCTGTTTTTCAGGTTCATAAATTAGGTTCTTTAGCTCAAGGACATTTTCTTTCAATAAAGAATCCTCTGGTTTGTTTTCTTTACATTCAATAGACTCAGATAATTCAAGGCCTGCTTCTTGAGTTTTATGAAAATATTCCGGGATTTGATCAAATTGAGATCCCCTTTTGACCATTAAATGTTTGTCATCAATGCCATCAACAGATTCACATAAAGATTTGCTGGACATATTTAAAAGTTCATTCAGTATTGAATTTCTTGGTTTTTCTGTTTGGTGCGATGTGTCATATTTTAAGACTGCGTTTACTGACATATCTAACGACATTTCCTTATTTTCTAATTCTGTCAATTGTAGTTTACTTATGTTTAGCAAATTTCCATCACTTTGATTGGGATTGCTAGAAATTCTTGTGGGTCTTTCAATACTTTCATTTAAAGTTTCATCCATTCTTGAATCATTCCGTTCAACTTCCATATTTTGATGCCTGGAAACATTGTGAGTGGTGACAGCTTGGTACACAAAGAGGTCTTGATGATTATGTTCTGTGGCAGATTTGTTGATTTTTGTTTCAGATTTTGGTTGAATATAAGACAAACTTTCTACAGCATTGTTAGATGTTTGAGATATTTCTTTTTGCTTAAGAAGATTCGCAGAAGTTTTGTTTATTGTGTCGTTACCCTTATTATTACCATCTGATTCTATTTCACTCTTCTCAGATATGACTTTAGAGTGTTCTAATATATCTTGTTTTGTTTTTGAAACAAAGGAATGATTACAAAGCTGATTATTGGTAACAATATCTTCTTGTTTCGTGGAATTATGAGCCTTTTCTTTGTACATTGAAATGTCAGAATGAGGGTTAATACTTGCTTTGCATGAAGAAATATTATGTTGATTTTGTTGTGTATACTCTGTCACCATATTAGCAGACTCTGTGAACTCGTTATTAAGCACTTCATTGTTTCTTCCGTCATCAGTTTGTGTTGCATTGCCTGATTTAAATTCTATTTCATTTAGCAAATTTTTAGTAGTAATGACTTGAGTTACTGGTATGTTACTCAAGTTGTCACCATTAACTATGGTTTTTCTTTTATCAGAAATTATGTTAGTTCTTAGAGAAACATCATTTTGGTGTAATAATTGGGTTAGGGACATATCCAAACGAGTTTTATAACTTTCCGATATAAATGAATCTTCAGGGCTTCCCTCGTGCGTAGTTTCTATTAGATTGTTTTTAAAACTTTTACGTTCTGTAGCCTCTTTTCTCTCTGTGTTTGATATATTTAAAGCTAAAGAATTTAAATGAAGCATATTTCCTGACTCAGTTTCGCGAGTTGCTGCATTTGTATTTGAACCCAGTATATCATTCTGTAAAATAATATTTTCTGGTACTGTCTCCACAATTGTATTTTTCATCTCTACAGATTTCTCTTTGGCAAATCCTTGATTGCAATATTTTTCTTGATCAGATATAATAATGTTTGATGGAAGGGCTTGTGTTACAGAAATGTCACACACATTGCTTGCATTCAAAATATTTTCTGTTACTGCTTCAGTCATCGACATATTAGTTCTTTGCTTTTCATCATGCACAAATTTACTTTTGTTAAATGATTGATTGTCCTCTAATTCCTTCACATCTTTTTTTATTTCTATTTCAAAGTCTACTAATGTTGTTGGAATGACTTGAGTCTCTGAAATATTGCCTTGATCTTTATCGTAGTACGTTGTTTTTGTTTTATCAGCGGTACTAATATTTGATATGATAATATTTTTCGGTATAGTTTCAGTCATAGATATATTACAACTATCTTTCTCATAAATTATCGTATTTTTTGAATTGTTCTTTTCTAAGCTTTGATCTACTGTTGTTATAGTTGCGGAATTGATGTCGTTTCGATTCTCAACCATTAGTATATTTGTTGGTAGAACACGGGTAATTGAAATATCTCCTGTATCATCTCCATATAAAATAGTATTTCTTTTATTTGATTGAGTAAATTTACTTGATAGCAGCATATTATTAGGAACAGCTTGAGTTAAAGACATATGTAAGTCGTTTTGAGTAGGTAATGTAGAATTTTGACAAAAAAAATTTGTCTTTTCAGATAGTAACATATTTGATGGCAATGCTTGAGTAAAAGAAATATTATCGCCATCGTAAACAACTGTTTTGTTATTAGTCGTTTCTTTAGTACATACGTCATAATTTGTAGGTACTAATTGTGTCATAGATAGATTTCCATTGTCATTTTCGAAGAAAATTGTTTGCCTTTTCTCATCCTTTTCCTTCTGTTTTTCCAGAAGAATGTCTGTCGGTATTGCTTGAGTTACCGAAATGTTAGCTATTTCATCATTGTCATTAATAACTGTGCTTGTGATTCTGTTCTCACCTTGATTATTGATACTATTTTTCTGGTCAGTGACATCTCTACTTATAGATAAACCATGAACTTGGCCAAGCAAAGACACATCGTCTATAAAATTAGGTAAGTCATCGTTAACATTGAGAATAATAGTTTTTCTTTGTGTGGGTCGCTCAGAAGAGTTGTTGGGCAAAAGTGTTTTACGGAAATGTTGTTCATCATTGTCTTTATTAAAGATATCATTATTCTCAGGTTGAATGGTTAATTTGCGACCATCAAATACTAATATTTGATCTGGAACCTCATTTATTGCAAAGTTCAAGGATTCTTTTGGTGATACGTAAGGATTTATCGCGATGTTTTCTTTATCAACTGTCCAGTCTTTATTTACGTTTGATTTGGTGCCATTATTAACAGATATATTACTCTTTGATACTTCTTGTACTTTCGGACTATGAATAGTATCAGTTATTGACATATCTGAATATTCATTCTTCATTCCTATATGTGTCATATTTAAGTCCACTTCAATGTACTCAGAATTGTTTCTTCCCCGAAAGGGTCCTTGACAAACCACGTTTGGTTGGGACCTATCAAGATCCCTTTGAATTTCGTCTAAATCATCACATTTGTCATTATTAGAACCAACAGGCTCTATAGCTGAAAAGTTTATATTGATTTTGTTAGACATATCTCCTATAGTCGGAATTGTATGCTCATCACCAAAGAGTTTACTTCTCTGGTCTGTAAAGGAACTTAATTCAAAATGTTGTGGTGCAGCGAGTTTCCTATCATCTTCTTCACATTCAAGCGCTGCAATCTGTTGTGTGAAGTTGATGTTCATGGAAATATTCATTTCTTGTACCCTTGGGTTGCTTGAAAGCATAATATTTCCTCCATAGTCAACAAATTCCATTTCTTGGAAATGTTGATCAAAAATATTCTTGCCTAAGTGACCTATAGTCTGTCGAGGGGGATTCATTGCAGAATCATTACCAGAGGAATCCATCGATTTATTTTGTTCTTCATAAACATTCTTCCATGTAGTAGTAGCTTCATTTGTTATAAATTCTCTGAAATTAAAAGATTAAGATTTCAAAATTATATTACCTTCTCTACACAATACTTTTTAAATTACAAAATTTTATAAATATTTAGTGTTGCTATGGTGCAGATTACTTTCCCATTATTTTATTTTCAAGCCTCAATTTTTGTTTCTACCTATCATTAAATATGTTTGATGACTGATTTGTATTTGACTATAGAAACATCTAAATGGAATCATAAATAAAAGATAACAATTAGGGATATTATTGTGCCATAATTATAATAAATTTATCATTTTATTTACGTGGTAGATCCATGCTGCAGCTATATTAATAGTATAGTTGTAGCACGAATGGGTCGGCTCGACCGGGGAAGGACCACACCCTCACAGAATACCAGTGTTAAATAGCAGCTTAACATTGCTGTGTTTCGTATGGTGAGTGTAGAGAACCGGAAACCATTTTTACTGGAAACAAGGCATTCTATCTTAGTCCTCAAGGCTGACAACGCATCTGCATTTTAATTCACAAACGAGGATAGATGCAGATGTCTATGGGCCGCAGCAACCACTTACCATCAGGTGGACTGTGTGCTCGTTTGTCACCCTAATTCTATAAAAAAAAACCCATTTCGTCAACTGTGGGATATGTCAGAAGAAACTGGTTTCAGAAAGATGTTGATATAACCATCTCAAATATAATAATAATAATAATACCCAGAACCAAGAAAAATATCCAGACCAGCAAAAGGCGACAGCGTCAAAGGTGTGTAGTTTAGCTACTAATTAGTGTTTGCCTTTCAAAGAGAGCCGTGGTAGCTCAGATGGTTAGCACTCACTGTAAGCAAGATGGTTAGCACTCACTGTAAGCATCACAGTACTTGAGCAACCCGGGTTCGATCCCCGCTGGCACCAATGAAATTGTTAATTGCAATTTTAAGTGCTGATTTACCACGGAAAACATCATGAGGAAACCTGCATGTCTAAGAAATAAGAAAAAAAATACTTCGAACAGATGTGAAGTTCGCCAATACGCATTGGGGCAGCGCGGCGGACATTTCCTTGTCCTAAAACCCTCTCAGAAATCAGAGGAGGCCTGTGCCCAGCAGTGGGACATAAATAGGCTGAAACTTTACTTTTTTTCAAAGAGAGACCCGTATTCAGCCAAGACAGCACTTACAGTAAGAAACCAAATGCAATGACAGTGACATATAATGATGCATATATTGAAGATATGCAGTTTTAAAAACTAATATCACATTATTAGTTTTTACATTAATAACTTAAAAAAAGCAGGAAAATGCCTGTTGAATTATTCCATCTTTATTGTATTATTATTTGATATTTTTTATGTATCCGCGTCTCTTAACCGGTAACGAGCACTTGAGCTTATGTATTCGTAATGTTAAAGGGAATGTTAAAGGGAGCCAGTATAACTCCAGGTGAAGAGACATTTCATCCTCAGGTTAACTAAGCTTTTTAACGTGGGCTGCAGTGGTCACTTAGTATCAGAGAGTTGCTAGCTTGTTTGCCATATAAGCTTAAAATTTCAAAAAGTATCTGACAGTTGGGCCACATGATTGTCTAAATAATGACTTTGATTAAACATTTTTTTGGTCATATATCTACTACTCCATATCATCCAGTCATTGTCGTAACAATTTTTTAATGCCTTACATAATATGACAATAACAAACTTACGCAACACCAGTGCGCCGTGAGAAGCTGACTCGACGGCTCTTCGCCGTATCAGTGGGCGTAGCAACATTAAACTCGAGTTCTGACAAAGGTGTGCGGGGTGCACGCTGGCTTTTCAGAATGGACGATCTTCGCTTTCTCCTATAAAGTATAAATATACAAAAAGAAAATAATTTAAAATACACAAGTTCATTGATTATGGAGAGCTAATTTATTATTGTGACAGTGTAAGACAATCTAACACCCAACTTGACCATCATCTATTAGAGGTCCAGATCTCACAACTTCCAATAGATGGTTCTTTCTTTGGTTATTGTGTGTCTTCTGAATGACTAAACTGATCGAGGTCAAGACTCATACATACATAAACACTCACGGCTGTCACCCAGAGGGGTAGGCAGAGACTACAGACTTCCATTTGGCACGATGATTCATGTTCACAATATTATGTTGGTGTAGTTCCTTCTTCACTCAATAGGTGCTGCTGGTTGCCAAGTTATTAATAAATTTTATATTTACACTACAAAAAGCGTTAAGTGAATTCAGGGTAAATACATCGCACAACCTGCCCGATCGGGCAGAAAAACGTCTTGCAGATTAAAAAATGCTCAGACTGATAACAGAGCACCGCAATACTTATCTTGCCTGACAGTGGCACAACATAGGATGTTGTCACGCAGAGCCCTGCTTAAATAACCTTTATATTTTATTTACAAACTAGCTTTTGCCCACAACTTCGTCTGCTTAAATATTGTACTTTAAACGATAGGTGATATATCAATAATCGCACTTTCACAGTAAATTCCATCACCCTCTTTAGGATGATTTCAGTGATTTAAGCTATCCTATTTCCTTCCCCGGGACTCTCAATACCAAATATCATTTAAATCAATTTAAGGGTGAAGAGGTACATTTGCTCACACGGTGATGAGAGATGTTGTTCCCTAATTTGTCCGTAGTACGCCCGACCGCACTGCACGCGCCGGACCGCACAATTTTGTGTCGTCGTTAGTTTTAAAATATTTTACCAAATTACGTAGTTTAAAAGACAAAGTTTATCTACTTTGAACATCAGAAGCGGTTAAAGTATTTATTTTGATAAAATCCATTTCTTAATGCAAAATCTGCATTGGAAATAAAGTATGAAATTTTATTTTATTTATGGTTCACTGTTTTCCAAATCCAATCCCAAACAAATGTCGCACATGCAGTCAAGACATCTGCTTAGATCAAAGCGCGGGCGTCGACTGGTCATTCTAAATCGTAATGTTACAATTACACTGTCCTAAATTGTAGACAATTTAAAAAGTAGAGCGGTTGGGACCTCCACCTTTAACTAAATCGGATTCTATCTGTTCTAACTATGAATACATTTTCCAACTTCCTAATTAGATTTTATAAAAATTGAATAATGTAATAAACACTTTAGGACCACTACAGCAACGAGGCAGTCAATGATTTTCACTGCCAAAATTTGCTCACGACTTCTTGCAATGTAAATATAAAATTTATTAACAAGTATATATTGTTTGTCCGCGATGAACTCTTTCAATTATATACTAACAATTGTTAATGTTAATTTCAATAATTAAAAACTACTGAACTGATTTCAATGAAATTTTGATATATATATATATATATATATAAATATATATATATACATACATATATATATATATATATATGTATGTATATTTATATATATATATATATATATATATATATATATATATATATATATATATATATATGTTTATGTATGTATATATTTGTATACATGTATAAACAGGAGATATTGCTATAGTTTATTTATTTTATATATCAGTAAAATGTATATATTACATAGTTAATTATCATTCTTATTATTTTTTTTACTATATTGCTACACCTACATCAAATTCTTACCACTCCATAGGTTGACTGCTAGAGAATGTCTCAAGGCATTAAGTCTGCCCTTTGTATTCTTTTATATTAAGGATTGCAATAAATAAAGAATAAATAAATATAGATAATAGTTATTTTGGTTCATAAATATAGTTTTAATTTGTGCCTGTATGTACCTAGCTATGAACCAATGTTTTGACAAAAAAAATTATATAGCTATGATTTCAATTGCTCAGAAGTTTACTAGGTATATATATAAATGATTATTTTTATCAAACAACTGTTTAATAGTTTGTAAAATGTCTACAGAAATGTATGAATGTCTAAATATCCTTAACTAAATAGTTGATTGAGAAAAAAATATCAAAAGAAGCTATAAGTCAGTCACTAATAGAGGCAGCAACCTACATATAAAATATTCAACTATTAGTAACTAATGTGTGATTCCATCTTAATCTTCCAGAGCCACAATAACAGTTGATTATTAGAGATGCCAGAAAGGTTTCAAGATCTGATAATTAACATCTCATACTAGTAATGGCACTAAATTAAAAGTAACAAGGTATTGTTGAATAATTTTACATTTCAATTATTAATAGCTAATATTAATATCTCACAAACTGCAACATACTATTTAGGACATGACTGACAAAAATAAAATCTATAACTAATAAAACTCGATCAGATAAAGCTTCAATTCAATTATTGTGAGTTTTGTACAACTGATAGCTAGTAACTGACTTTCTCTTTTAAAATTTGGAAGGTGGTTACTTATGTTTGCATAACAGTACAGGCAGCAATATTTTTTTTGTAAATATTAAACTTCGAAATATTATTTTTTTAGTGTTCATAGAACTATATAGTTTGTAATAAATAATAAAAGAAAAATTCAAAATTAAAGAGAACTAAATTATTATACAGTTCTACTTCCCACAGCGGTGACAAGTCATGAATACGAACTTGGGAAATGAATTTATTTTTCATAAACTATGTAATGTTCTATTACATTTTTATATTATACATTTATTTAAGTGACGACATATACTTTCCAGTTTAATTAGCTTTACTTACGTTGCTGCAGCGGCAGCGTCAGATATTCGGCTACCTTGTGTATCGTCCATCTTTTTCACATATACCGAGAAGCTTTTACTTTCTATTTGTATGCATAATATAAACTATAAATTAAGTTTTGTTTAAACTGCACTTGTAATAGCGAGTTATGAATTGTTTTTGATATACAAATCAAATAAGAAGCTCTATGTACGTAACGTTTATTTTCAATTCAAAATAAAATTCGACATTGACAGCTAGGGCTAGGGCTAAGCTAGAGTAGATTATGATATTTGGTCTATGGTAGATGGAGAATTGAATCTATGCTTGTTATTGACAATCGAGACACATTTCGTCACAGACTTCATATAGTAGGTATCTGCCTTTAGTGCTAGTACCTCTTATTAGTTCTTGGTTTAGTGTTAAGCGCCATAAATACAGTCCATCTTGCATCAACTCACAATAAAAACCAGATACAAAATAAGTGAAGTCACCTGAAAACTTTGAAAATAAGCAATATACATTTTAAAGTTGAATCTGTGATCATATCATACTTTTAATGGTTTCGAAAAAATAATGAGTTAATACATTAGATGCGTATGTTTTTTTTTTCTAAATGGTATAGTAGTTTATATTTCAGGTGATGACGATTTTAATGTTTGTATTTAAACGATATTCTGGTTGTTAACTTGTGATATTTCTTAGACCACTTAAAAGGGTAAAATTATGAAACTATTAATAAAAAGTATAAACAGACTTCAAAAAATAAAAAAGAGTAAAAACATACCTTCTGAAGTCGGGGGCTTTAATTCTTTAATACATTGTCTTAGCGCATACCTCAAAAGGTGTTATGTGGTGATTTTGTTTTTGAAGTCGGTATTTACCTACTTTATATTAAAAGTTTATTTATTATTTACTAAAGTAATAATACACGAGAGGACATTCAGCTATCTCTTTCTTGATGCCTAGTGTAAACGGACAATTTCGTATTTAACAAAACCACATAATACCGCATCATCATTTAGTACCAAAACTCTCTGTACCAATATCTAATCTAGGATGGACCAGAGGACTGCGTTTAGTTAGCATTTTGTGGCAGGAGCATTTTGCTACATGTAAGCTAAGACACTTACCACACACTAAGATTTTCTTCCAAAATCCATTTAGTTGTTTTTGCGTAATTGAGAACAAAACATATATACATCCATATAAATTCATATTTATAATATTATATTTTACAGTACGCGAGCAATCTGGGTTCTATCCCCACCGACACCAATGTAGTTTTGCAATTTTACATGTTGATTTAATAATAATGTACTCCAGATCGAATTTTGGTCACGGTGGCCAGTCTCAACGGAGACTAGCCATCGGCACAGGACAAGATTATAATGCAAAGTGTATGCGCAAGCATAGGTGTACTCTCTATTCCCTCACTCTCATAGTCCGATGGGACGGTAAGTCGATACGACCGGAGAGAGATCAGGGACAGGACCAACGGCTTTACGTGCTTTCCGAGGCATGGGGGTGTGACACCGCCTAGTTCCTGACTCCAGGCAGCTGCTGAGAATTTTTTGATGGAAAAACTCAATAACTAATTTTTCGGGATTCGAACCCGGGACCTTATGATCAGCAGTCACACTACTACAACCACTAGACCAACGAGGCAGTCAAATGTTGATTTACCATGTGCATGGCAGTTAAGGAACACATCGTATATTCTCTTAGAAATGACAGTAGACCAGTTCCCAGTGCCCAGACAAATATATGGTATATTTTCTTTACTTACTTTACTAGGACTAGTATGGTGATCATATCCGAACAGGTTTCCGTTTCACATTATCGAGTTGGATACAGTTTTTACTGCAGTAAGCGACACGACATTACGGGCTTTATTATTGAGCAACATGAAAATTAATTTTAAATTGTAAATAAAGAAAAAAGGTTCTTTTGTTGGTAGCGCCTCTTCCAGAAAAAAAGGATCAATTCGAACTTACTAGAGGGACATGTAATAGAAGATTGATAGCTCAACCAGTCCTAAATGATATAATATTCTATAGCTAGTACAGTGTAACATGAAGGTACTTTTTGAAGTACCGTTTAGAATGCGTCTAGTAATAAAGTACAGTTTATACACGTGAATATATAGAGAATGCAAAATACAATAAAAAATACTCACAGAACATAGCCGGTAATCAGTGTGCTAGCCGTAAGAAGCAGGAAATAAATTGCACATTTTGCAATCCAGGTGTAAATGTTAGTACAGGCTAAATCTAGTGATCCAGTCATTGATAGCTGAACCACTTTGATGAATTTGATTCTACATTGCTAAAATCACTTCAAATTTTTACCATTTGCAATGTTTACACCATTGAAATTTACTCTAGTCTAAAATGTCATTTAACGTCATTGTGACTGAATGAGAAGAAGAATATTTTTTGTTAGCTGCCATTTATAGCCAGTTTATATTTTATTAATGACAATATCTCATTTACCCGAGTTTTGCATGAGTTCTATGCATTGAGCTCGAGCTATATGGCCGGCCCATTGCCACTTGAGGATAATGTTCCGTTGCGCTATGTGGGTCACTCTGATTCTACTGCAGATACCCTCATTAAGAATTCAGACAATTTCCGCACACAGTCCGTAGAACTGACAACCGATAGATTCTTGAAGTTTAGGGTAGCCCCCTTTAGATGGTAAAAGACCTGCAAGACATGCAAGAAATCGATAGATGCAGGGGGATCAGAACCGAGTTTTGTAGTGATTTTTGAGGAACGTAAGGCCTTACGTGCAGCAGAGGACTTGTGAAGAGTTACGACTGATGATGAGTTCTTTGAAAGTAATAGGTACTGTTTACCGTAATTGCGTTGATTATGTAATGCAATGAATAAAACATGCCTAATCGTCATCACTATAACATAATTAGAACTCCACAAAGTCCTCTACTGAATATAGGCATATCCAGAGATTGCTACAAAATATGGTTCAGTCCTGGCTCACCTGCACCTCTTCTATTCATGTTTTTTATCATTAACATCACTATTTAAAAAAAAAACGCCCAGTAATGCGTTCGTCATTACGAGGCCGGCATTGCTCACGTGCATTTTGTGCATTTAACAACAACAAATAAAGAATCATTAAAATCAGTTCATCTAGATAAAAACGTGCGTGTATCTACTTACGTACGCACGTAAAAAGTTATACTTCTTTAGCGTAATAAAACAAAAATAACTAAAATAAAACGCTTTTATAGATTCATATATTATGTATATTTGAAGGAACTACCTTGAATACAGTTCCTCTTCTTCTTCTTCTTCTTTACTCTCACGAAAACTTGACAGTTGACAGACAATTACCAACTGAATTTGTCGCTTTTAGGCTTTATTGTGCGCGCGCATCGTAAGAACTTCATGGTGCCGTTTTTAGGTGTCGGTGTGCGCACGCATCGTAAAAAAATCACTCTTATCATTTTTCTCAAAGGCGCCAAAAGAAGTATAACTTCAGAAGTTCTGAGGTAACACAAAAAAATACAGTCGAATTGAAAACCTCCTCTTCTTTCTTCTTTTGAAGTTGGTTGATAAAACTAGTGAAGTTTTGGCAGAAACTTGACCAGCGGCGGGTTGTTGCTTCTGTATTATTGTTTAAATAATGGTTTAAAGTGGATTTTGATATGTAAAAACGATTTTGTGTATTGATTGTCTACACATGTGAACTATTAGTGCAAACGGTGAAACAAGCGCTGCGATGGTGATGTGAATCTCAAGATAAGGTGCCTGTCTACTTAGGCTCCTTGAGATACTATCGCCAACTGTATGCTGGGTGCTGACTAAAGTTGCCGTCACAATCTCCCAAAAATACTACGCATTGTAATGCATCAAGATATTGTGAAGCAGTGTACTAGAGAACATTATTATATAGGGCATAGATGAGCAACTCTGACAAATTATTAGGTGACGAAATGAGGGAAGTTTCATCTACTTAGCTGAATGACGTTGGGATTAAAATTACCGAAATAATACACGAGAGGACGCTATCAACTAGGTTCCGTATTATTTCGTACGTTTTAATAAAATCAAAAGCATTTTTTTTGAAGAATAGATATATATAAATGAATAGTAAGAGTTATCTGTAGTAATTTAGTGTTTTAAACATACTAAATTACTACAGATAACTCTTTATTTTACTTCTTTTTAAATGATCGTGGTTCTATTGTAAGCAATTATTCCACTTCCGATGTTAGAAATTATTCTCAATTTTTTTAAAAATAAAAGAACACTACTCGGTAACAAACTATCTTTACTATCAACAGCCATTCTGGAAGCCAATTGTCAAAAACAACAAAGGTGTGAGAGCGTATGCTCAATTTGCGTTCCTGCTTACGCAACCAATCATTATCAGCAAAAATACAACGCACTGCACTATACACATAGCATAAAGCAATACAGTTCGACCAATCGTAACATGTTCCCGTTACAATCATGCACCGGTGTAATGTGAAGGACCCAATTACATGATAACACCAAGGTATGCAAACCAACAGCAATACGGGTAGTATCTCAATGTAACACAGGGCAACCTCTCAGCAACATGATCTTCCTTACGTACACTAGTAGAATACCCCAACGGGCAGAATAACGACAGTGAGACTCGTAGAATTATAGACCGACTGCTCTCTCTTAGTCGCCTACGCGGTACTTGATACTGCTAGAATGGGTGTGAGATTACAGTTCTATTCTACCATTTAATCTTATAGAGCGCGCTAGCCCCTACTGCGATCTACTCTTGGAGCAGCTCGCGATTATAGGTTATTATTTCACTCAGGTAGCAAGAGTGACAGAGGCCTGGCCATACAAATACTTGCTCCGCGTGGGATTCGAACCCGTAGTCCCCAGCGCTGCAACTCACATTAAATAAATCATTTGGCGTGAAATATTTTTCTTTATATTTTATTTGAAGGTCTCACTTCTACCGCGTGTGAACTGCACACGTGATTTTTTTGCCAATTCTGAGCTATGTTTAAAGTTCAAGTCCCTAAAGTTCATCGAGAACATTCAAACAGAGCAACTTAATATAAAAATGCCTCTACAATACATGATACTTGAACTAGGCGGTACATCTCCTTTTCTGGATAGAAGCTCGTCTGGATAGGTACCACCATTTTATCTATTTCTGGCGCCAAACAGCAGTGCTTGCATAGCTGGTTGCTGGCAGCGAGGCTGTGACTCCATACTACAGGCAGGCATTCCATTTCCAGATCCAGAAGGGAAACGCATCTGTGGGCCTTTGAGGTCAGTTGCAGGTAACTGAGCACAAGATGCCGACGGCAAGACAAGATGGCAACATTCGTTTGCACCCTAAATGTTCATTGCAGCTTCCCCTGGCGAGCTAGCACCATATTATTTACCTAAGAACCATCGCTGATGAGCCACAAACCCTTTACAGGAAACCGTATCGAAATCGGTCAAACCGTTCTGGAGATAAATGGCAACATTCGTTGCACCCTAAATGTTCATTGCAGCGCCCCTGGCGAGCTAACACCATAATATTTACCTAAGAACCATCGCTGATGAGTCACAAACCCTTTGCAAAAACCGTACTGAAATCAATTAAGCCGTGTTGGAGATAAATGGGAACATTCGTATGCAAACACAAACAACCTCTCACTCTAAACGCATACACCTTCTCCGTTCCGTCGCGAGTAATAATAAATGTCGGTAGTGGCGCCATCTTTTGCATAAAATTTGTAAAAATAGTGGGTGCTTTCAACGACTGTCAGATGGTTCTAGGGTCAACGTAAAAGCGAGCTACTGAGTTAACGCTAACTTAAACTTAAAGCTAACTTTCATATACCCTTGGCATGGAGCGCGCTGCGATATCTACGTGTAAAGACAGTTATTTTATATTTTTAAACCTACAAGGGTGCCGTGCGTTATTTTAGCACGGCCACCACGGACTTAATATACGTAGACTTGCGTTTTACGTGTCCCCCTACAGTGTGTCTCGCTATTTCCATAACACTAGGTTTTTTTTTTCATTTATTCATTAATTACAGCCTATCTATCCAATATACTGCTAAACATAGGTATCACCATAGATTTGCTGATAAAGGGAATATATGTCGCAGTTGGAGGATGTTGCCATGCTTGAAAGGCGGGCTTGCAACCGCAGTTTTTATTTTCCAGTTATTGTTAAGAAGACGCTGCTGATTTGTTTCCCTCTTTCGCCTCTTATAACTCTTACGAGACGATATGGGATAGTGAATATTCTTACACCGTCACTACACGGTTAACATTAGGTTTAATTTAGTGATATGTAGAAGAATTTCTCTATCTACAAAAAACACAGAATTTTCAATAATGATACATGTGAGGTTTTAAATCGTATATATTTTTAACAAACACCTGTAATTGTTAACTACAAAGAAATCAAATTATTACAATCAACATTCACAAATGAAATTATAATCATCTACTAACAATTTTACAGCTAGCAATATTTACAATTATATTCATTGCACCTTTGAATAATATCGGTTTAGGTTAATCATAGAGCCAGATCGAATTTCGTTTATGTAACCCTTTACGGCTCGCGGCCGGAAAGTTTCCTGGATAGCATCACTAATATAACGTCCAGTCCAACAAATTATCTACTCGGATTATATTAAATTGGAAAAAAAAATTAAAACACAAAGATTATTTCTAAATAGTAGGCAGACAAATAATTTTTATTCGCTATCCATTTCCGAAACAGAGGACATTGTCACACTAGTGGTACAAAAAGACCGAGAATAATAAGTCGAAACGGTACTCGAAACTGACTCACAGTCGGTGGCACATCGTCTGAAACAAAAGCGAATATCATTATCATGGCTAAATTACCAGCAGCTTTTGTTTTATAATAATAAGATCTTTTTTCTCTTTATTTTTTTAGTGGCTTTCGTCTCGAGCAGATATGCTAGACCACTAATACCCTAATTCTACTGACACAGTTGAAAAAAAAGCCTTATTGAGAAGAACTTGAATTTTATTTGTGTTTCATAACACCTAAATCGTGTAATATATTTATCTTAAAATTTTGCATCAATAATTCTTTTTCTATCACATTTTATAATACTTACTATACTTTACTTGTCAGAAAAATCTTAATAAAAAAATCATTAATTGGGCAAACTTTTTGGAAGGAATGTGTATAATTACAACTGCTACGTGAACGCAATATATTAGTAGTTTCAATATATTCTCTAATTCTTCCTTCTAAAAACCAAGTTAGTCGAGGAGGCTCACACT